ACCCAGTTATTTTTTTCTTACAGGTCCAATCACCATCATGAAATCACCCAATCCCAATTCTTCAAAAGATCGACAGGGTTGCTAAGATTTAACTCACTGGTAGATCATGTGCTTAGCATTCTGGAGGGCCTAGGTCGGATCATCCACACCAAAATAAAAGAGCAGCAGAGGAAAATGTTTCTTTAGAAAGTACAGTTAAGGGCCAGCCAGATAATTCAGCGGACTAAAGCACCGGCTCAGGCAGGCGCTGAGACCAGGGGCCCTGCCCCCAGGGCGCTGAGATGGCAACTGAGACTGGACATGGTGGTGCACACCTGTAATCCCAGTGCTGGGAGGCTGAAAACAGGAGGATCACTGTGAGTCCAGTCTGTGTAGTGAGACCCTGTAGACCCCGTACTAACTACATTTAAAAAAAAAAAAGAAAAAGAAAAAAAGAAAAGGAAGTAGAGTTAAACTGTGAGTGTTGGCACTCCAGGAGGCTGAGGTAGTGTTGTAAGCAGCTGAATTAGAAATATTATAGGCAGCCAGACAGGGCCAGGCCCTCAAGGAGACAAGATGGAAGACAAGGTGACTTTGCAACTTGGAAGAGTCAGACACTCCCATATGGGCCACACCTCAAGACCAAGACAAAAAGAGGAAGCACGGCTACATCCTTCCCTAGGGATGGGCATCAGGGATTGATATCCTAAACAGTATCAATCAACTTGAAAGAGCCCAAATGAGTCACTAGCCCAACCCCCAACAGGAAGAGACCCTGTTCCGTATTGGTGCCCCCTTGCTATGTGACTTGCTTTCCCATTTGTTACTGGATTTAATCAATTTTACCTGAGCAGTGGTGCTTGTAATCTCATTGGCTGACCATAGTTCTGTCCCACCTCATGCCCACCTAAGCGAGTTCCCTCGTTCTCTACCACCTTAGACCCACCTCACTACATGGTTTTCCTCTATAAAAGTCTCTGGAAGAGACAGCCTCCCAGGGACCACTTGCACAGGGGTCCCCTCCTGACCCTCTCTTGGACAGGAGCTTTCTTTCCCCCAATAAATATACTCTGCTCATAACTTCCACTTGTTCCTAGAATTCATTCTTTAGTTTTAGAGAACACAAACTCATCCCAGGTACCTTTCAGGTCAGGAGTTTCATTTTCCCCTATATCATTTGGAGGTCATCCACCCTAGATCATTTGTTCCCTGTCTCAGTAGAAGGATTGCAAGTTCAAGAGTCCAGCCTGGGCAGGTTAGCAACTTTGCAAAACCTTGTCTCAAAATAAAAACAAAAAATGGGCTGGGGATGCAGCTCATTATGAAGCTTATGGGATCGACCCTCAGTACAACAAAAAGTACAGTGAGCTGAGGGCTGGGTCAGCTCTGTGGTAGAGCCTTGTCTAGCTCGCTCAAGGCCCTACGTTCTCTTCCCAGCATCTAAGAACAAAACACAACAAAATAAAACACACATACACTGTTGATGTTTCCCTTAAAACAAATGTGTTAGAGAAATTACATTCTTTAGTTTGAATAGTTGTACATTAAAACGCTTGGAGGTAGTTACATAGGAATCTTTTATATAAGCTCGTATCGCTCTCATTTAAAAGAAAAGATGAAGGAAAGGAATTAGCCCAATAATTATTTAAAATACTTGGTGCAACTGTTCCTATGAATTAATCTGGGCACTTAGAAGACAATTACACTCAGTGTGAATAACACTGCCAACCTTTTCCAGTATGCTGCGCACCAAACACAATTGTATTCTCACTGACAACATTCGCTATTACATATGCATATGAAAAACGGGCATTTTCATCAGAATTACTGTAATAGCATTAAGAGATTATTTTTTTCCCAATTTCCTGGGAAGGAAATTTACTTAAATTAGATTATTTATGACTTGACTGCTCCGCTATCTTGCCTGTATGTTTAGGTAACTGGAGTCCATGAAAGTATAAACTTCAGACTAGAAATCATGATTTTATACATTAATGGTTCCAAATAAAGGAGGAGGGCCACGTTCGTGCATCACTTCTTTCAGGAAAGTTAAGTCTGTGTTCTGCTTAGAAGAGATAACAGTGTTTGTCCCTGTAGGTGGCCCCCCTGGTGTAGCCATTAGTTGCTAATTACTTACAAACAAATAAACAATTAACTCCTTAAGCTGCTGGCTGGCCAAGTGTTCATTGACATGCTAAAACTTTCTAAAACAGGATTTTAATTAGTGACATGCTAAATCCAGCCCCCTTGTCAGCAGAGCTATAAGGTGAACTCAGAAGACCCCACCCCTGCACTCGCGGGACCGAGGTGGCAGAAAGACCAGAGCTCTCGCTGCCAGCCCAAGGAAGGATGTCTCCCGGCCTGCAGCAAGGGGCCCAGCTGAGGGAAGGCAAACCCGCACCCTGCTCCTTTTCCATCGAGCGCATCTTAGGACTGGACCAGAAGAAGGACGGGGTGGCGCCGCTGAAGCCTCACAGGCCCTGGGCAGATGCCTGCAGCTCCTCAGGTAGCCAGCACTTCATGTTTAAACGCTTTGAAATTTTATGTGAATGTCTAGTTTGTTCTTTGTTCTACGCTGCATAGAGTTAAGAGGCAAAAACGGTTTCATTAAATTACTTAACCAGGACTAAGCAGCTCGTAGGACGTTTAGTATATCCTGTGGGAAATAAAGTCTAATTGCCTTAGATCAGGGTGGAAAATAAGTTCCGAGGGAATGCCAGAGACCTGCATTGATTTCAGAAAGTTCTCTGTAGTTGACACTCTCCAAAATGTAAAAATAAAATAAAAACGCTTTCTGTATCAAGGCAGGATTTTCATTTTTGTTTG